GCTCATATTGTAACAGAAATAGGCTGATGCTATGTTTTTCAATCTGTGGTGCAAGTTACACTGGTGGTGGCTCCTTTAACAGCCTTGGACTTTACCCTTTTTCTTGATAGGTTTTTTCTTCATGGTATAAAGGTTGCCATTTCAATATCTTTCAAAAGAAAAAAAGTCAGCTGATGAAACACATCAACAACAATAAGAGTCAGTATAAAATCTCTTTCATGTTTGAGGCTGAGCTACAGCAGAGTTTGACTGAAGTGCTCTGAGGTTTTGCACACGCCACATCACTCATGAAAACCTGTCACTTTTCCACCGCTTTGGGCTTGTGAGCTTTGGGCTTTGGGCTTTGGGCTTTGGGCAACAAGGAGCAATGTCCCACTCAGTGCCAAAGCTCCTCACCAGGCCTCAAACTGAACTGAAAACTAACTAGCAGCACATATCTTGTTAGTATATGTTTATATTAAATGGCACTGATTAAAACTGTGTAGTTTAGGTTCATGACATTAATATTTTATTTATTAAATAAAAATAGCTGATAACACTGTTTCAAAACTCATGATTGATCATTGTGAGGATTATTAATAATGCTAACTGTGCAATAAAGGGAAATAACTTGATCACTGTAAAGCATTTTGATCAGAATCTTGACAATTTTGATATGGAAGTAGAAAAGATCTACTATTATGTTGTAACAAATCTTTGATTTGTAGAATGCCACAATGAAAAATCGGAAGGCCTGTTTTATCTCCAGTGGTGTATTGAGCACAGCATGTACAATGTATAGGTGCATGCACACACACACACACACACACACACATGTCCGCTGAGTGGACAAAAGTGCAGTGGTCTGTAGTTGTGTGGCGTGACACTGATTGTATCTGACATCTCTGAGTAATCACTCCATTACAGCCAGTACATCTGTGTGTTTGACCTGTGGGTGATAAGCACTGGAGCTCGAGGCCACCCAGAACTGAGCAGCAGATTTATGTCAGGAACAAGCGGAAAAACTACAGGCTCCGCAGTGTGCTCAAGTTTTCATTTGATAAAAAAAAGACCTTGACTAAGCATTTTCAGATGGGGTTTTTGATTCACAGGAAGCCTGCTCTATCTGGCTGCACAATACATGGCAATTGAATCGAAAGTTGAGTTGAGTTGGTGGAATTATAGGTTGCAGTTATTTAGATAATAGACTGTTCTCTGCAATCAGCAAACTTGAACATGTATTGAACATTAGTTTAGACCTCTACAAACATGTTCTGAAATTCATGGGATTAGTTTATTAGTTCATATTCCAGTCTTCTATCAAATGTTAATGCTCAACAAATCGCAAATCGACAAAAAAAAATCCATAATTCTGTCTGCTGTCTGCTGCAGCCAAACGTTTTGACCTGGGCAACATTTCAAGATTTCATAAGAAAAAGTAATTCCATGACACCATGAATTTGGACTTTTGCTTAGTATTATTGACAGTTGAATATGTGATATTACTTCATATATTCTGTTAGAGCTTTATCAAACCCTTTCCTCTGCACCTCTCATTCAAATCGCTTTTGTTCTTTACCTATAGGCCTCAAGCTCTACCTCTACCAGTCTATCCACTGTCCCTTCTTTGTTTATCAGTATCTCTGCAGAGCACCTTAACATATTCAGCTCCTTTCTCGACTCTTGTCTTTAATGTGCAGGTCGCAGCCAACTTCACACTCAATAGACACTGTTGATTTCACAGTTTATGGGTCCATTAAAATGAATAGATTACCATTTTCCACATATAAAATTTACAGCTTAGATGACATTAGCACATTAAATGTATTTTATACTGCATTTTACTACTACTTCATGAACACTATTTAAAATCAGACATTTATTGTGAAGTTCTACTGTCTACTGTCTGGCTACACAACACAAGTGATGCATAATAAAATTAACTATACATTTAGAGTGGAGACAGTTTGTTAAGGGATGGAAGAAATGCATCTTAGGTACTAGAATCATTGGAGCTGATTAGTGAGTGAAATAAGACACAGATAATCACAGTAATCTTAGCAGGATGTGGCCAAGACATGATCTGGAATAACAACAGAGATAATTACGGCTTCATAACAATGCACAAGGCAAAAGTAGTTTGTGGTGGTTTGGAAGTCTTCAATTATGTGTCACAGAGATTTCACATTTTCTTTTTAGTAATTTGTTGAAGTTTGATTTTCTTTTTGTCTTGGCATCCCAAACTATTTTAATCATAACAAAAATATTCAAGGTATGACTTGTTAGGGGGTGCTTTGTGTAGCAACAGATTTCTTTGTATTGGATTGTGGTAGATCTAGGAGTAGTAGCATTAATGGTCACAGCGCAGAAATGTACAGTCTTTGTAATAAAAAAAATAAAAAAATGAAATAAAGTCAAGACCTCGTAATTGTGAAAAGTACAGATTTAGTTTTTTTTCCACCTCTTCTTGTGACAATGACGACACATTTGCAATGTACAGTCTCACCTCTAGAGGGACAATCCTATGAAATGAATCTGCTGTTGCTTTATTTAGAAATTTCTCACTCTTTTGCCTGATCGATGAAGGAGACAAATGAGACCCAAAATCCTGAACATTTCTGTGATTATTTCAACAACAACAATGAAGCCAAGGTGCAGAGGCAACTGTCGAGGCGCGCATGAATATTAATGGGAATTTGATTAAACATTCCCATGTCTTCAACGGCACAATATCCCACAGGCAAAACGCTTTGAGAACAAAACAAATTAGCCAGACATTTTAATTATTGATGGTTGCTTTTCTCCTCTGTGTTATTATTAGGCTGATGAGGCAGTAGCGGGAGATGGAGAGACATGTCACTTGCTACCATTTCTATTAAAATGTGTTAACATTTGCACACACCTCATCCGAATTGGGGCAAAACTGGGGCTACTCCCAGATGTAAACATGACCTAGGCCAGGACTAAACCAGTACAGAACATGACCAAGTCTACATCAGAGTTAAGGTTCAAACTGGGGTTGGGAATCAGGGTCCCTCATGATTCGATACATGACTCACTATATGATATTATCCTGATATGGCGATACATGTGATACTATATATATTGCAAATTATACTAAGAACCAAATACATTTACTATGTTTCTTTGTTAAACCACTACTTGTGCAAAGTTAATATGAAATACTTCTATTTTAACCATCAAAGCATTCTCCTAAATAAGCACCAAAATTGTAGAGCAGTCCCCCTCAAAAATTGCTAAAACATACCAAAAAACACTCTTAGCAATATATCAATACAGCAAGCCACAATAACGATACTGTATCACCAAATTTACTATCACGATATATCAATATTTTGATATTTGTGCACACCCCTAGTTCAAACCAGATCAAACAAGAACAAGTGTGAAAGCAGCTTAAATGTAATAATTAAAAGACTATGTTGGCAGATGTATACATCTAAATGTCAGGCACTATTTATACCTTAGACAAAAGTGTATATTAAACTAAACACTCATGTAAAGAAATAAACACTACTACTGGTAATTAATTCTTTTTTTTACATGCATTTGTCATTGTGATTGTATAAGCTGTAATGGAAGAACTAGCAGCAACACTGGGTAAAGATGCACTGTGTAACTTTTCTGGTGGAGGGTGTGCCACCTGGTTGTCTCTATGGAGAAGTTATGATTTACAGTTTGGCATTAAACCTATCCATCTCCATGGAAACAAGCAGGTAGCACCACTTCCCTCACACATTTGTGAGGGAAGTTAGCAGTAGAAATAAATAAATAAATAAATATATATATATATATATATGTGTGTGTGTGTGTACATATGTATACATACATGTATACATACATATATACACATACTATTTATTATACTGATTTATTTATAGCAAACTAAGTAGCAGATGTGATAATAACTGCAACAACAGGAGAATCTTTATTTGAATGCAAATTAACTTTCACCTCTGCTGACAATTTTACTTATAGTTTAGTTAAATGGAGACCACACTCCCACTAAATGACTCATTCTTCTTTTCTTTATACATTACTTTATGTTACTCATCTGTATAAAACCATATGCTTTTCCACCTCCAACTGTAAATCTCATGCAGGTGTTCAAATAGCTCTGGCACTAACAGTCTCAGTGACACCATCAGCAATGTGCCGCTGCTGGAGATTCAGATTACAGCGACCGTCCCAAAAGCAAAGTGCAATTACACCTCCAAACAAGTGTGTGATTGGCACAGGTGGAGACTGCAGCGTGCTATTGTGATGACATGATAACTGCTGTTGTTTTCTGTTGCGAACCACATGCCACAGAATAAAATACAAAATGGATTTCTCTCCTCTCATATTTGTATTAGAGGTAGGAAAGATTTTATTGAAATGTACCAAAATTTAACTAATGAGTCAATCAGTTTGTGACATAAATGTGTTAGCTGCAGTGTAAAGGTGCATTCACTGATTTTGGTTTTTGGTTCTAGATTCAGCCCTGATTTTGACTTGGCTGGTCTTGTTCTTTTGATGCTGTGAATGTGCAAGTGTGACAACCATGACATCAAATATTATAACTATAACATAGTGGAAGCAATTAAACTATAATTTGCGTATTTGTAATTGAGACAAAAGCCCAATGTGGTAATATTGTAACATGTTCTATTAATCTGTCCGAACTATACCAATATTCTGGAAAGAAGCTGTTTCTGTGTAAATTCACCAATAAATATTTTTGATATCTTATGAAGCTTATGTCCTTTTGCTTGTAAAATGATAACTAACAGACAATCAAGACAAACTAGTTACCTCTAATTAAGTTATTGTTGTGTTAATATTCAGGCGTTTTATGGTGCTCTTTTTGTAGATGTGCACAGTTTGTAGGTATATCTATTTTTGTCCACTGGTTTTAAGAGCACAGCTGCAGAAGTGTGCTGCTGCTGTAAGACTGGACATTTGCTTTCCCCCTCCAACAATGCCTCACATCAGCTGCATCTATAAATAGTGTTACTTACTTGGATGGCTTGGCTCAGGCCGCTCCTGTGTCCACAGCTCTGGCCCTGTAGCGTGGCCTCCTGCCCTGGCTCTCTGCACTGGTGCTCCACACTTCTGACTGACCACATCACATCAAACTCACATCCAAGTCCAAGTCTGCTCCGACCTCAGGCCATAAGACAACAGCTACATCATCCTGGACATAAAATCTTACATTATGACATCCCTGTAACAACCCAGAGCAAGACATTTCATCATTTCAGCCATTCAGGTAATATTTGATTTGAACATTATAGTTCAGTGTAACTGAAGGTTACTACAGTTGTTGCCTGCTGAGTTAGTCCCATGGCTGGTCATATAGTTTTATGTTTAATCAAACATTTTTGTACATTTTCTTTATTTGTATATTTAGCCTATTTCAGAATAATTAAACTATATTTTTGTTCAGAAATCTTTCTCATCTACAGACTATTAGTATTATTACCCAGTTAGAATTACCTAGTTCGTATTTGTATTATTAGCCCTGTTACAGGCTTGTGCATTCTTGTGCATCCTTGATCACTCTCCATAGGCTAAACTGTGGCCTGTTTTGATGCACAGTCTTGACGACAGGCTGTCCTCACAGCAGCAGCTGTTCTCATTTGACACACTGCACTGTGACAGTCTCAGCCCAAGAACCACAGGGACACATGCAGATCAACTTTGTCAGAAAACAGCCAAATACTGGGGCGACAAAAGCTAACGAGGTCAGTGACCATCAATCTGGAAAATAAACAGATTACTTCAAAATGCATGAAAGAAACAAAACTCAAGGTGATGAAGCAATAAGGTAAAAAAAAAAAAAAAAGAGAGAGAAATTTGTGCATTTGTTTACATAAAAGCAAAGACTCCACTAGTAATAACAGCAAAACAATTAATCCAAGTTAATTGGATTTGAATGATGAAAAATTAGGATCATTGCCATAGCGATTAACGATTTCAAACTAAATATATATTTATATAAAAGTCCTCAAAATGTTGCATGTAACAGGGAGATGAAAGCTAGAGGCACCTGCACAAAGGTGTCATCGTTTGACAACATTGCCCTCTAGTGGTTTTAAGATGAAAGCAAACTTAATAATTCACGTTTAGATTATTTATTTATTGCTTGTACCTAATTTGACATCATGGTATCGCAGACCTACATTTCACTGCCATTCAGCTACAGTCTCTAGTCTTGGTAGCCTATAATTTTGTTTGATATGAGAAATCTCAAGAAGATGCAACAATAATCAATATCTGTTTATGGAACTTTGGAAATATATACATTAATTCTGGACTTTATTAGCAATATACCTTAATTTCTCTATTGGACTTTTAAAATTAAATTTTTCCTTTTTAACTCACAGAACTTCAAACTAATGCAACATTTATTAGCAGTCATGACAACATGACAAATTGACCAATTATGTGGTCATCATACTGTGTATTAATGTGCATCTCCACTGTATAGCATTTTGTAACAACAGCCTCTGTAAAGGGACCTTGGAAATGAATATATTGATTTGTCATTATGAATCATCTGCTAGATCTCATAAGAGAAGCAGAGCAAAAGCAGTTTTAGTTTAGCTAATACAAATCCAATCCTTTGTTTAGCTGCTGCTTTCAATGTAATGTTACTACCTTGCTCTTTGTCATTGTTAATCAATCTGTGACTTATCTTACACATACTACATCCTATTTAAATAAATATATTTGTATTTATTTTAACTGATGTCAAGGGGGACAATCTATGAATTTAATTTAAAAATACAAGGAAAAAAATATAATGAATAAAGTTCCATTTATTTTATTCAGCCATCCATCCATTTTCTTCCGCTTATCCAGGGCTGGGTCGCGGGGCTGGGGGTCCATTTATTTTATTCAGTATAAAATATTCAATATTCAGAAAAATATATATTAATAAAACATTGACCTTTTACAATGGATAGGAAATGTTTTAGCTGCATTTTAACAAACACAAAGCAGCCTCTTCGTTTGAGTCATTCTTCTTCAGCATCACCATGACGTCCGTCTCTATGTGAACCTTTCATATTATTGTCCTGAGCAACTGGTCCCTCCTCCTCTGCTGCCGAATCCTCTGAGCTGTTAACCACTGCAGCACTCAGGCTCTGAAGCTCCTCCAGCACAGACAGGAGCTGAGCTGTCAGCAGAGAAAACGGACAGCGGTCAAATGTAATGCCTCTAATGGACACCCCTTATGTTTCATAAGACCAAGTGATGGCAGTAGTGACGCTCGGGCAGGACACTCACCATCTGCTGGTAGTTGAACCTTTGGCCTCAGAGTCGGTGTCTGTGAAATGGTTTTTCTTTGTTCCCACAGAGCAGGGCCAGGTTGTATAGCCGTGTGGTTTATAAGAACAGAAACTCCAGGCTAAATGAAAGACAAGAACAACCATGTTTTAATCACAATAAAGCCTTCAAGTTTTATCATCTTAAAACAGGGCAGCACAATGCACAGTACAGAACGGCAATGACAAAAATGATCAAAAATTTCAATATTTCAAAGATATTTTAACAATGTATCATGAACATGAATGTACCAAAAATGTTATGCAGTGCAAAAATATTAACTTATACCCTTGTGAGGGAGATTATATATACATTTCTTTCTCTCTCTTCATTTTTAATATGCAATATTATCAATTTTTACATCTCTTACTATAAATAATTTAATTAAAAAAAGGTTGTACAAAACACAAGAGCTGAAATTAACAAATTACATTATGCTAATGATTTTAAAAGATGTTAATATCATTAATGAGCCACATGCAAATGTATTCAACTAATAGAAACGCACGTTAACATACTACAAGAACAAATGAAATGTTTGTTGTTTTGAGGTACATGCAATAAATACAGAACCTAAAAAACAATCTCTATTTTTATTGAACAATGTGATTATTCCGTCAGGCCTGTAGCCATTTTTAACACAACAAAAAACACAATAGTTCACATTATTGGTTTATCAGAACTGAATCAGAAATATCACTCTTTTTATAGCACAACTGAGTCATGATTTTGTATTGTATTGTTACAACCCTGAACTTAAATTGATTTCATGTACCTCGCTCTGTGCATGGTCTCTCTGCAAATGTTCCTTCTTCTTGGTCGCCTGTCTCTCAAAGTGCCGCAGCGTCATTACTGTAGGAGACAATACACACAGAGCAGAAGCCATGAGTAAATGATATATACCGTGCAAACAGTTGAGATCATATTAGATAGCTGTCTGCATCTCGGACACGACTATTCCCCAGTGTGGAGAGGCTGTGCAGCTCCTCCTCCTCCTGTTACCTGCTCTGGTATGCTCAGCTCTGGCTCTGTTGACTTGATCCTCCATCTCTTTTAACTTTGCAGCACAGCATTCCTCAATCTCAGACACCCTCTCCTCTAGGGCTGTACAAAAAAGAACAGACAAGATGAAAACAGATCTTCAGGGACACTGGAACTGACTGCATTTGGAGTTGATAAATAGATGCTTGGTTGGACTAGATATGTAGCATTTATTGGATTTATATTGTGCTTTTCTGGACACTCAAAGATGCTTTACCATGCATAATTCAATGTGTATACATTTTAGTTATGTATGAAAGTTCTAACCTACAAATAATGTTATTATTGTTTATGTCTGTAGATCATAAGAAAAAGTCAAGAAATATATTTTAAATACTAAAGCTGGTGTGCAATCGATTGCTGTTGCATTAAATCTTCCTCACTTTGGAGAGTGACTGGAGCACATCCCTAAACTAACTGTGAAAAAGTGTCTGAGAGGCAGTGAAAGCCTCTGCACTGCCGCCGTGCTCTTGAGCATGCCACTTAATCCTGTCTGCTGGTGTGAAGAGTGGACAGTGTGGCTCATGTCCTGTGGAGGGCTGTGATGAAAGGGATTTGGTGTAAAATGCAGAGACGAGTGTCACCTCTCTGGCTGCTCTCCTGCTGAGAGAGGAGCTCACAGCTGAGACGCTCCAGTTTGACCTCCGTCTGATGCAGCTGCTCCTGGATCAGCTCTTCCCTCCTCTGGGCCTGGTTGCGCTCAGAGACAGCCTCCTGAATGTTCACAATACTCTGGTCCAAGTCCTGCTGCTTCTGCATCAGTTTGCCTTCATCTACAGACAGATGAGGTGCTTAGGGACAGTCAGACAAACAAACAGTAAACAGATCAAATCTATACATCTGTGCAATAGGACGTTACATTGTTCTTTGAGATCAGAGAGGGCCTTCTCAATCAGCTCCGGGGTTCGTTTGAGCTCTAGAGTGAGTCTGTCTCTCTCCTCAGACACCATCTGCAGCTCTGTCTGCAGGCTTCTGATGCTGAGGGAGACACAGGAGAGACAGAGAACAAAGAACAGACCAAAGATGAGACAAATATTGGTCTTGTCTGGTCTAGTAAAATGTTTTGTTCTACTAAAAAAATATTTTGTTATTCTAATTTTCTATTAATTTAAAATAAAGACAATTTAGAGCCAAGAAAATATCAAAAGCAGTACAGTACAACTAATAGATTCTCTTGGTAATTCCTTAGCTATTTAGTTCAGAATTTCCTAGCATGAAATATTTAATAACAGCCCAAACATTGCAAAATGAAATATTTGTACCAGTCAGCAGCTTGTTCTACTTGTTTAGTCGATTGTTGCACTTTCTGAAGAGCTGCTCTCCTCATGATGAGCCCTGTAAAATCAAAACATCAGCAGACACTTTGAGACTGTGAGCTGTGAGAGATTTTTGTTTATCAGTCTCAAGTAGCACACCTTGAATCGTCTCCACTCGTCTTTTAGCAAATGTTAGTCTCTGTGCACACATATTCAGTTTGGTTTGAGCAGCATCAACCTCTAATACCTTCTCTTTAAAAACAAAACTGAACCTGTAAAAAAAAAAAAAGCAATAAAGAAATACATTATAATATATATTCAAATATTACATTTATAATATATAAATCCTATTTTTTGTACCTTTGCACAGCTTCTGACAGATATTTTAGGTCTTTCTGGTCTTTATCCATCTGTAGTTTGAGCTGGGAATTTTCCTTTTGAGTCTGGGCCAAGTGTTGTTTTAGAGTCTGAAGAGAAAAAGACTGTCCATATAACTGAGTGTGCAGTAAAATTCTTCCATGATGCTACGTTTTGAGGCTTTCCTGCCAGCTGCTGCTACCAAAACTAGCAGAAAATCTCATGCAGTCAGCACCCTCTGCTGTGGTAAAAATGTATATGCGTTTATCACTTTCTACTGGAACAGAATATTTATTGTGCATCATCAAAATTTCAGACGGCCATGTAAATCACATCAGCTGCTCGGACTAACCTCTTTCTGTACTCGCTCCAGATCCAGAGCCGCAGTCTTGTCCTCCAGGCTGTGTCGGAGCACACTGGTCTGGTGCTGCTCCTGCTGGAGCTGCTGTGCTATAGCATTAACCTGAGCATATAAAATGAATGTATATAAAAACACTTCTGTTAACAATACTTGCAATAGATGCTGATTCCATACCTGTGAAAGTAGTTCATACTTCTCCCCTCTTAGTTCAATGTCTTTAGTTCGAAGTTGAACACACAATTTGAAGACTTTTTCTCTCCAGAGTTGCAGCACATGCAAAGCTTCAGATCCATTCTTTACAAATGATTCTGTGGTGTTCTGGCACAAGATTATTCTACAATTACTACAGGAATTGTAAGAAATCAGCACTTTTTGCACATTTTAAGAGAAATAAATGCAGCTAGTGTTAAAGACATTATAGTTTGCAGCAGAAAAAGATTTTTAGCTTGTGCTGCAGTTGACAAAGTCTAAGTAAAGTGATTAAATAATAATGAATACACATATTTAGATTTCACCTGCTTACACAGCAGTACAGTACAAATACCTTCTTTATTAGCTTTTCTTCTTGGAGGGTGAGGATCTCATTAACTGAGTTGAGTCTGATAGTCAAAAGCTCGGCAGTTGTCTGTAGAGCTGCCTTCTCTTTGTTCAGTCTCTGAAACATAATCACACATACCTAATTAATAAAAAGTGATTATTCTCCACAGGTTCTTATTTAAATCTCCCTAAAAGAACATTTTTAAGGCTTTTGACAAATACAATTACTTTACAGTAGGCTGATTAGAATCAATAGTGTTTATGTTGTCTGCACCTCAAGTGCTTCATTAAGTCGGTCCCTCTCTCCACTCTCAGGGGTGAGCTGGCCAATGTAATTTCTGAGGCTATGCAGTGTTGCAGACTGTGTCTCAAATGCTTGTCTCATTTGGCTGAAACAAAAACATCACAAAGGAAAGTCTTACCAGAGTTCACTCTTTAATTAGAAAGAAGTCTAAAAAAAGCCTTCATATATTTCCCTAAAACATTAAACATGGCACCTTAAATGATCTTTGAGCCCGTTTTTCTCAGCGGATACTTCTGTCAGCCTGCCTTTGAGCTGCAGCACCTCTGAAGACATGATCTGAAGTCGGTCGTGTAGTTCACGGTTTTCTCTCACTGTCTTTTGTAGCTCAGCACTATGTGAAGCAGTCAGCTTCTGTATCTGAAAGACATTTTTACAATGCAGTTCCAAGACACTGCTTGATATAGTAGTTTTTACCAAAGACTGTAACAAACCTTAGTTTCCTGATTCTTCTGCAACTCCTCCAATTGTTTTGACAGTCTTTGGGTTTGCTGTTTGATCGCCTCCTCGGCCTGTAGCCTGCACTGGTCTGCTTTCAAGCTCAAGTCCTTAGCCTCCTCCCTGCTAATTTCCAAGTCCCTGTTCAGCATTTGGATTTCCTCACTTGACTTTTCATGTAAATTATCAAAGTGCGAAAAAAATAAAATAAATAAACAGCATGTCAACATTTGATGATGTTTAGTGTAAAGTTACAGTGGGTACATTTACATGACCAATAACAATGCTGATAACTAGAATAACAGATACTCAAATAATTAGATCTGTGTTTTGGAGTGTGTTAACATGCACACAAAAAAATAAAAATCTGATGATTAAATCACCTGGCAACTTATAAAGGATGAAACTAGTCTATTTGGAAGACAATGTACAATTCAATTAAAAATAATAAAATCATAACATTTTCTCTTTACTATTAATAATAATGATGATAATAAGTTTATAAATTTAATCATGTTCAAACAATAAACAACAGATACATGAAAGCAAATAGTTAAAATTTCTAATCATTAATATAGTCTTCAGATCAATAGTTCTCATAATTTTATTGCATAATTTTCCTTGTGAACTCCAGAAAGCAGATAATGATCAGATTTTGGGTGTGCATGTAAACATAAATACCTGTGTACGTATTTGTTCTTTCTCTATTATGGCTTGAGACAGCTCCTCTCTCACAAGGCCAAGTTCTGCTTTAATCTTTTGCAGTTCCTCACACACCATTTCCAACTCATGAGCTTGTCTGTTTAGAAGTTAACACCGATTAAGATGTTATTGTCATTACAAGGTTAAGTACTTGACCAGTGATGATCTTACCTGTTTAGTGTTATGTCTTTATCTCTTATCTCCGCTCTGTGTGTGACGGCTGCTTCTTTCAGTGTCTGCACCTGCCCTTTCAGCCTCTCAGTTTCAGCCTTGTAATTCTCAGATTCCAGACGCCACTGTGATGCCCACTGCTCACTCCTCTCCACTGGCCTTAAAATATAGACATAATGAATAATCCACCAAAAGATCCAAAATGCTCATGAAGTTTTTGTCTAAGTACCGGTAGTTAAACAATTGAAGGTGCTTGTTGATGGCTGGGAGCTAACAGTTGCAAGAAAAAAACAAAAGCTAATACTCTTAGTGCATAAAATGTTTAAAATAATTTCATTGGTAATTTAGCCTAGTTAAATAAAGGCTATTAACACATTTAATACATGAAAAGTGCCTGGGCTTACAGTTTTCTTGAAAATAAAAAACAAAATGTGTTTCAGTTATCTCATCACCTACCTTGGGTTATAATCTCTCACTTTGTTTCTACTTAGATTTTCATTTTGAAGCAGCATTAGCCTTTGATTCTCCTTCTTGAGCTCTAATATTTCTTGTTGTGTCTGTGACATCACGAGCCAATAACTGCTGTGGCTATGGTCTGTACTGGGTAATGAGGCTAGACTAGGTTTGGTCCAGTTAATTGGAGGAGCTGTTACTGGCATCTTCCCTCCTGTTGCTGATATTTGCACTCCAGCAGATGAAACAGTAGATGCAAAATGTGATGGAGGCACAAGGTTGTCCTGGACCTTACCTGTAAAGAAAAAACATATGGCAATTAAAGGTCCGTTTTTCAGATTGGGGGTTCTGCAACTGTCTGTAGATGTTAATGCTTTGACACAGAATGTTCCACAGTATGGCATTAAACTTTTCTTGCAGTTATCCTATCACGGGTGTTTCTACATAGGAAAACATATATTCTCACTGTGAGAGGGGTAACCTCTTAATAGAGCTAACTCGTTATTTTTGGCCCGATGCTATCATCTAGCTGCCACCTTGGAGCAAGATACTTTTAATGTTGCGCTATGGAACATTCAGTCAAAAACAACAAGTTAAATAATACACCATTAAAGCTGCGTTTAGATTATTTAGTGGCAGAGAAGTAGTAACGTGAGCAGCAAGTTACATTCAAGATGGATTATGTTGATTGCTTTTGAACGTACTCTTTGTAAAATCGGTCGGCACAATCAATCTTTCCTTTCCCAAACTCGGTATTTCCATGTTTTAATCCCAAAAGTACTGAAAAAGTCGTGTAGTAACTTTGATTTTCTCCCGCCGCGACAGCAGTTTGTTGCCTCCTCTTTTGTATTGCTCCGCTTAGCTTCTTATTAGCTTCCTGCCACAGCTAACGCTACCGACAACAATCCAAACTCCGCCTGTACCATTTACACAAGAACATCGCTATGTTCAGCTATCAACAAATACACTGAATTTGTGTATCTCTCTTAAAAGATAAGCCTGACAACAAATGACAACGCAAAAACATCCAAAGCATCACGGGAAGACAACTTGAATAGTAATCCCTGAAATTTGTCTGCAGGGCTACTTCTTCTCGTACAGTAATAGTAAAAGGTAAACGGACTGATTTATATCGAAATTGCAAAATGGTAAAACTGATAGATATTGCGTTTGTGTTTCAATTTTCCGTTATTTCTCTATGTGGATGAATATAATCTTCATTCAACTCAGTCACACTCCAGTGATGATGATCACCACTTAAAGCCACAGATGCCCTGTGGCACTCTACAAGAGCATTGCTGACAGTTTGTGCCTAAGGGAACTACTGTTATGACTAGAGGGGCTGAATGAAAGCTTATGTAAACTAAGGTGTTTATTTAATTAATTCTTAACAAAATTATGAATTGTGTGTTCCTTAAAGACTTTGAACCCATATGAACGTAGGCCTAATGTTCCTGCTACTTCCTACCAAATGCCTCTTGAACCAACTGTAGAATGCTTGTAAAATATACATGACTGAAGTCATGAGAATATTTCATTTAGTTATCATAATGTTGGGAGGGGTTAGGTCATTTGACTAATACATTCTATAGCAGCCTATCCTCTGCAGATATAATATATCTTTGTGTACTATTTTCTCTCTTCTTGCACTCATCATTTGTATACCTGCAGTGTATCTTCTCCTGTTGGGCTGCCATGACCCACTTTCCCCCGGGGTTCATTAAAGTTTCATATCACCTAAACCAATCTATTTATGGTTTATTCGGGAAACAAAAGCGGCGCTTGGATAAATTTACGCTGCCCTTCTCACATCCATTTGAAAATACTACGATATAAACCCATTGATTAACAAAGCCACTATACATTAAAATATATGGGAAAGAATACTACGCCAAAAATTGGATCCTCATAAAAGACTGGCAACCTTTGTCATATCTATAATGTAGTGAAATGGTTGTGTGAGAACAGGGAGAGTGCCTGAGTTATTTGGGTACACTTATGTTCTAGGCTCTTAGTACTTGGCAGGCTCTACATCAGGTCCAGCAGAACAAAGCAGAGGAAAAGAGGGATCGGAAGGAGAGACCGGGGAGTCTGGTACAACAAAGACAAACCTGACCCTTAAAACAGGGGACAATTAAAATGGAAACCACTTTACTGGAGGGGATTTAATACTTAGGTGGGTATAGTGCAGAAATTAGACACCATAATGTCACCATATTACAACTTCTTGAGAAAAGAAGATGTATAAACACTGCAAGAAAATTTCCTTTAATTTTATTATTACAACGTTGTCAATTATAAATTATAACTCCACCCTATAACAGCCCTGATTCTTCAGAATGACAATTTATGGCTCAAAGTGAGAGTATGTGTAATGTAGTGTTTGCAGTCAAAAATTGGCCTATTATGGTAATTACTATACCGAATTATTGTTTAGTATATGATAGATGGAACAATATTTTTTGGGAGTCAATATTTCTGTGCGTTTTCACTAGTGGGAAATGTCTATGAATATCTATATTTACTTACCCACAACTGTATTATTATGACAGGCCTAGTTAAAAAAGTATTGCTTGAGTGTGTCTGCTTTGCAGCTGGACACAACAAGGTGGACATCCCCTGAGGATATATGTAGGACGATATGGCAAAGAAATTAATCATCTCATTTTAGACATCTTTCTCCTCATATTGAGTAATCTTTATTTTCAATTAAATAGTATTTGTTCTTTTAAAAAATTAAATCTGTATTAATTTCATGAGCATAAACAAACTGAATACATACATTTCCACAACAATCCTCTCTCATTGAATCAGAGTTTAATTACAGATTGTTGTGCTTCATAACTAGAAGGATCCAGATTCAAATCCAATCCATGAGGGTCATAGACCACAGGACTGCAGGTAAGATACCATATCAGTGGTTAAATAACAGTAACACATTTTTGCATGGTTTCCAGAATATTTCATTTAGGTCAGTTTTCTAACTGACTTTGATCAGTTGGTGGATGTAGCTGTGATGGTCGTTGAATTAAAAACACATTCATGTAAAGCTCAGGATTAGATAAATTGCAACATACACTTTACTTTTACTTGGATCATAATTTTGAGAGCAAAACATTTTGGTTTATCAAGTGAGTATGAAAATGAAGTGGTATGATACATATTGCCGTGCATTAAACTGGATCGTTGCTGCTTTACTATCCTCAATTTTCATACAAGAAAAGAAAGAAAATTCTGCTAAGCATGAACTCCTCAGTGCACCCATGTCTGCGGAAGCTGTGTGATCGCTCCCCTAATCAAGCTGATTCAGCACCCACATAGAGGAGACCCAGTCCATGATTGTAAAGAGCTGAGGTGGAGTACTAATTAACCACTCTCTTTTGAAATGTACTTTACTGGTATACACCTGTACAAGAGGGGCATATTGGTGGTTTTATCTAAAAAAAAAAAAAAAAAAAGAAAAAAACACTTGTTTTACTTTTCTCAATTAATTCTCATTCTTTAGTAACATTTTGAAATCACATTACAGTTTTGTGAGCTGTCTCCACTTTCTCAACATGCACCATCCCTCATAAACTACAGATTCTTTGCCACAAAAGAAGACAGAAGAAAACATATGAATGGAAATCTTTGCTTTGTCAGTAACTCTAGACCAATATCTTCCTTACTTGCAGAACAAAGCTTAGCTTGGCAGGGAACACAAGCACAATGAAACTTAATGTAGCCTTTACATGTGAAGGTTGTTTTTCTCAGCAACAATAAGAACCATCCCTCTCCAAAGTAGGGGTCTAAGCACTCCACAGAGACCATCCTGCCACTCAAACAAGTGCTCACAGTCGTGACCAGGGTACGGTACCTGTGCTCTTCCATCCAAGCAGCTTGTTAGTGCATGTAGAGCATCAAGCTGCCATCGCAGGCTCCGCGGCACTGCGGTTTGGGGAGCAGCCCTAATTGTGACGTGACAACTGCCCTGACTAATTAATAGTAGGTCTAGCTCTATCTTATGGGCTGCAATTACAAGGGACTCATATTTAAATAGAAAAATTACTACTCTGTAGTCACTAGGGAGGAGTTTGGATAATGGAAGTTTTCTTTCATGCCAAGGTTCCTCTAAAAGCTTGGGCTGTGCTATGAGGCGTGATGTGTTCGCAGTCCTTTGTTAATTGAGCAAATAAGGCTGCTCGCATGCATTCAGTCCCCGTGCAGGCTGCACACTTGGAGAATAAAGCCACTTGTTTGTGAGCTAGTGGCGATGCTTTGAGCACAAAGGGTGCGAGCATACAGTGCGTGCTATCCGGGGTTAAGGTGTTTAGTTAATGGTTTCTAAATTGGGATTTTGTCGGTGCTTCAGACTGAATTTAATGCACTGGCGTATCCCGGTGGTTGCCTAGTAACGCGCTGGCAGTGGGCGCCGTGCGGATCTCTGTGGTGGGCGCTCCATTAAAACCGATGGCGCTCCTGACCTTGGCGTCGTGAATGCGCAAAGCACACAGACTGTGCAAAGCAGCAGATAAGAGTAAAGATCTGTGTGATAGTGAAACCTCAGAGATATCGCGCACACCTTCCGTGAGGATTGAAAGTGACGGGCATGCTATGGAGCAAATGTGGACACGGAGCGCGTATGGGCTTCAGTAAAAGCAGGTGAGTTAACCTAATCATTCTGTTTATATTGTGGGACAAATCTCTGCAGATTGATCACAGGCACCCGGGCTAAATCTAACAGTTAGAGGCACTACTGTAAAGATAGCGCACCGTTTTATGTGTTGCTTTTGTGGGATCGCTGTTTTCTCCCCATTGCCTTTATTATTCCACCGTCCTAGACCTAAATTAAATAGGCATTTGTGGTAACGTGAAGTAGCGCATACATGGGCTCCGCTACAGCAGTTTGTCGACGCTATCAGGGCTGGGGCTTGCATTTCTCTTTGAGACTCGGACACAATTGCATCCAGTTTGAGATCATTTCTAGTGTGTTTGCATGCTACCTGTAATCTGTTCTTTGTTACTGTATCCCTATAATAGACTGATATGGGGATCCCACGTTCACTGTTGGGATCAGACGAATTACAAGGACACGGGAGCCCAGTGCTGTAGTGTGACATGCAGACGCACTCTCTAATGCTCTCATGTTAAGGGCCCCCAGGCAAGCACAGCCAATCGATAAGATGTTGTCCCAGAGATTTTTATTAGTGCTGAATTAGTGCTGAATTGTGTGGCTGTCAATGCTGCAGCTTTGTAGTTAGCGATGCTTAGTATAGAGCATGATAATATGAATACACATTTTACTTGCTTCCAATCTTTCATATCATAATTGAACTTAGCGTAGGACATTCCCTTAGGAGGACAGACAGTGAAACACATTGTTAAATCTCACTTCTTCTAGATACAGACACTTGCAGACATCACACGCACTGCCAGGCTAAAGTACCCCAAAAGTTGCAGTTTATCATGGAGGCTCTCTTCAATTATGTGCCCCATTTGGTACAAGCCATAAAGCTTTTATCCACATCTGTCCCTGAGCAGAGCGTATAAGAAGAAAAAGCCATGCTCCAGCCCACTGCACACAGTTCATACAGTTACACCAACACACTTAAAAGATAAGGTCACGTTCTGGTTTAACAGCCTGCATCAGTCAAAACCACATCTACAGTGGAAGCAGCTAACAATAGTAGTGTTCATCTACATTGAAGTGTGTTGGAACATAACAAATTCATGTGCGTTTTACAATGGAAAAAGCTGCCCATTTTAAGAATTCATATCACCTCTTTGATCTTCAGAAGTCCAGGCACATTTTTGTATTTTTTTATCCCCCATTCTGACAGGGTTGCTTGTTAAGGCAAGGGAGAGCATAACTAAATGTGACCAGCGATGTCCACCACACAGCTTGCATCTGGTTAATTTGATTTTTGTAACAATTTCACTGCACATTTTTTTTAGAACAAGGGGCAATTCTCCCTTTAAAACACTAAAGCTTGATGATGTATTACCAGTGTCAGTTCCAAACCGGTGGATAGGCTCCAATCTTCAGAAAAAATCAGGTTTTCTCTCTTTTC